ATCTTGATACTCCGAAATACCTACATTCCGGCCATACAGCCGCAGTTGTTGATCTCGATTATTCTCCTACCGGTCAAGAGATTGTGTCCGGTTCTTTCGATCGATCTGTCCGGATATTCCGCGCCAATGAGTCGAGGAGCAGGTAGGTGGCATTTTTACTAGAGACTTAACTAATCGTTATTATATTTGTTTGTATTTCCCAATGTTTAGTCTGTTACAGTTTTACATGACAATTTTTAAAGGGATATATACCACACAAAACGCATGTCAAATGTGCTTTCTGTATTGTGGTCAATGGACAATAAGTTTGTACTTTCTGGTAGTAATGAGATGAATGTTAGGGTGTGGAAAGCAAAAGCGGCGGAAAAACTTGGCCCGGTGAGTAAACTTACTTTATCACTTAATTATTCAAGTTAGTCACAGCTTTACATGCCCATCATTTTTCTACGGTTTCTTCAGTTTTTCACTTAAGCTTAATTCTTATTCGTTACTCTTCTTTTCAACTCTCTCCGCATTATATCACTTATATTCAGCTCGCACCTCGTGAGAAAGCAGCATTTGCCTATAGTGAGAAACTTCGTGATCAGTTCAAGGAGCACCCAGAAATTCGACGGATTGCTCGACACAGAAATGTGCCGAAAAGTATACTTCAGTATGTGTTGAATTTTTCCTGATGATGGAGCAACTTGGAAATTATTACAAATCTTTAGTGCGAGCCGTGAACATGCGGCCATTCGCGCGTCTCAGTCACGGAAGGAATTCAATCGTAGAAAAGCTGAAGGGATCAAAGATGACGAAGTGGAGTTTGTACCGCAAGTCAAGAAATCTATGGTCAAAAAGAGTGCGGAGCCGTTATAATGAACGAAATCTCTATATTTGTTTACCTGTTGATTTTAAGCTGTTGGACTGTTGACAAAGACGTGTTTATCACTTCACAATGTATAATAAGTTGTTAAAGTGATGAAATAATAGTGAGATTTTGCCCTAAACAATCACAGATACGTCGTCTCCTACGAGTATACTTGTATCCCGTTAACAAAATTATTATAGAAAGATTATGTTGTTGTTAAACTGTGTTACAAGGTAGAAACATCCTAAAGCAACCTCATCAAAAATTCGAAAGAATCAATGAGTATCTTCTGGAAATATAGAACTATTATCTTTTCGAGGAGATTTCTGGTAGCTGATCCTTTAGCGACTGTGGTATGGAATTAATGTAGTCCTAAATTTTATAATTGGTACGGGAAATTTTTGTGAGGGAAAATCTCAAGAAAGCAAAGAAAAGAAACTCGCCTCGTGTTTTACCCATGGTGCAGAAGCTAGTACACCGCCTGTGTTATTCCGTTGAACATCTGCGTCGTAACATAAATCTCTACCAGATAT